GGTTGCAGCGGTTGCAGCTGGGACCTGGCTCTGGCGCTCCACCACTGTCCTAAAATCATTAGTCTGTATTGTTTTAGAAAAACTGTCACATGACAATAAACAAAAATTTATCAGTACTCATACTTGTAAGTACTCGGCAAGTACCAGTACGCGCAAAACTGGTATCTGTGCATCCCTTTATTTATATTTATAAAAACAAAATCGTACATTAAAACAGAGATGTACAAATCCCAGGAGCTCCGTGTGCTCCTTACAAATGACAGCTGCCTTCTATTTTTTAAATTTTTCTCTAGTCTAGTCTTGGAGCTCAAAAGTATCGGTACATGTACTTGTACTTGTACCGAGTATTGTACTTGGTATCTGTGCAACCCTAGTAAAAATCTTAACACGGGAAATAATACCTAGATGGGGATGTCCTCTACAGATTTCTACAGATGGACCAGCCTTTGTATCCAAAGTATTCCAGTGGTTTGTTAGGATCCTTCAGATGGATATGGAACTTCCATTCTCCTACCATCCGCAGAGTTCAGGTATTGTTGATAAAGATAAAATTATCAAGAATAAAATTAGGAGGGCCACAGGTGGTACGTTTGCCAAATGGAGAACTGCTTCCTGCGGTCCTGGCCGAAATAAGGATGACACCTTCCAAGACCAATCACCTGTCACCCTTTGAGGTTTTAATGGGTAGGCCATTCCCAACACCCTGGATCAGGAGACCTCTAATAGTAGAGCAAGGGGATTTGGGATTGATAAAGGAAGAATATTGTAAGAATCTGATTTTGAAATTGAATGGCATCTACGGTAAAGTATCTTCTGTTCTCCCATTGCCTTCACAGGAACCCACACATGGATTTCAGCCCGGAGATGTAGTGGTGATTCGCCAGTGAAACCGGAGTAAGAAGCAAGACTTCCCTTTCGGCCCTCCTGCTACAGTGGTTGCGGTGACCAGAACAGCAGTCCTGACAGAACAATCTGGAGCCTGGATCCATGCTGAGAGGATAAAGAAAGTACCCCAAAGAGCCAAGAAGCAAGACACAGACAAAGGAGATAAAGACTCTGAACCTGATGACCATGCTTCTCTCACCACAGACTTCTGGGAAAACCTTGTGCCTACTTTGCATGCTGGCACTGACAGTGTTCTTGCCCACATGGATCATCACTAACTGTATTTACCACCCTAAGGACTTGGGAATTTCAGGCCAATATGTGGTTCATCCCCAGCCAATATGACCCATACAAAAATACTAGAAAGACAGAGGAGAGAATTTCAGCCTAAACATTCCACTTTCTTTTCTAACAAAATGTTGTTGCTCCAGTTTAAGCACTTATATGCTCGAAAATCAGGCTATAACAAGTGTTGGGTGTGTAGTAAGCTGCATCCTAGCACAGCTAGGATCCCCTTGCTTGTTATTCCCTATTTTTAAATGGTACTCCCCCGATGGCTATAACCAATATATCAGCCATGCACATGAATGACACTATCACTTCTCAAGCGATTGGCAGGAGTCACTTCCCAGATTGGTGTTTCAAGTTGGGAAGTATATCAAACAAGGGTCAAAAGTTGTGTCACAAGTCACGATTCAATATATCCCTGAACCGAGACTTGTTCAATATATCCCTGAACCAAGATCTGCCCACTATGTGGCACACTAATGATCCAGAAATTAATTCAACTTTGTATTCTTTTATTTCGTCCAATAACCCTATAGGACAAGTCCTCATTTTTTTGACATTGGGAAGTCTCCCCGAAGGTGTCCAGAGCATTGTAGGCCTGCAACCTTTTCTTTGAGTAACAATACCTACATATGCTGTGAGCTGGTATGTTACCCATGGATCCCAGTTAAAGCTAGGGGGTGGTGCTATTTGGCCTCAGTGGTCCCAGTGATGGGAGTAATAGGGGGTGACCAGGGGGGTATCAGCACCTTCTAAAAGTTGGTACCCACCCCAGGTACCCTCTGAAACACATAAATAGAAGAGAGTTATTTTTTAATCGGGACAAGGTTTGGTCAGGGTTCCCCTCCTGGACAGGATGGGGAATTGAGTTAATCAACAGGCTAAATAATTATTCTAAAAATATAGATGAGATAATGGAGAAGAACTCGGTTGATATTAAGCTTTTGAGTATTGAAAAGAGAGCAATTCGTAAGCAATTAGAGGTCCATGAATTGGCCATCGAATCCATGAGTGCTGTATTGACAGGACTTTGTGAAATGACAGAAGATTATGAATGTTGCACCTGGTTTCATAATACAAGTTGGAGTTACCAGATTATTATGATATAATTGATAAACATAGAAAGGAAGTGACTGATCTACAAGCTGAAGCCAGAGATATAGCCAAGGATGGATGGAACCCTTTCAAGGAATTGGGGAACGTTGGCGATTTGTTTGGCTCCATCTTTTCATGGTTTAAAAAAGTAGGAATATTGATTTTGATGGGTTTGTAATTTTTCCTTGTTGCTTATGCTTTGCTTAAAGTTACCATATCTATCTGCAGTAGAGTTTCATTAAAGGATAAAGTTACAAGAAAGCTGTTAACACAGAATGATGAAATCACTTCGTGATTTAAGAGGGGAATGTAGGGACAGCAAGAGTTAAAATATATTCTGAACTATGTTTATAAGCTTATGTAACAGGAATAAATGTAGTTCCGCTTTTTTACTAAGAAATTACCACCATTTGCACAGTTTCCTGTTGTTTTGCTAATATGTTTATAAATAATCCGATGCTAGACATCCTGTGCAAAGCTGGCTGGATGTCTGAAATATTATGCTGTGATACATATATATATATATATGTGATTGTTGGCCACCCCTCACCTTATATTTCGTAGCCCTCTCGTACTGAATTGCATAAAAGCACAGCCAGCGTAGCCATTAAACTGAGCAGTCTTTGAATCCATCTTTGTCTCTGTGTTTCATTGATTGCTCCCATAATTCTGAGGGTAACACTGATCGTCTTCATAAGGAACAGAAACATCTCTCGATACTTTCACTTTCAACAAACAGAATGTGGCCAGCTTCACAACTGTAGCAAAAGTGTTTCTTACAACTTTTTCTACATTTTATAGTACACACACTGTTAGATTTATTTATAGTTCTAAACAAGATTTAGATAAGACAATCAATGATCTTGAGCTTAGACCCTGAAAATCCATGCTATTCTGAATTCAATGAATGGACACACACATTGAGGGGAATTTAACAAAACTGGAGCATACAAAATCTGGAGCAACTGTGCATGATGACAAATCTACTTCTCTCTTTCATTTTCAAATCTTAACTAAACAAACTGAAGAGAGAAGCTGATTGATTACCATGCACATCTGCCCCAGATTTTGATAAATTCCCCCCATTGTGTGTGTATATATATATACTTTAATGGTATCCCAGTCTTAGTCCGTAGGGTTTAATATGGAGTTGGCCCACCCTTTGCCGCTATAACAGCTTCAACTCTTCTGGGAAGGTGTCCACAAGGTTTAGGAGTGTGTCTTTGGAAAGTTTGACCATTCTTCCATTTGTGAGGTCATGTACTGATGATGGACGAGAAGGCCTGGCTCGCAGTCTCCGCTCTAATTCATCCCAAAGGTGTTCTATCGGGTTGAGGTCAGGACTCTGTGCAGGCCAGTCAAGTTCCTCCACCCCAAACTTGCTCATCCATGTCTTTATGAACCTTGCTTTGTGCACTGGTGCGCAGTCATGTTGGAACAGGAAGGGGGTATCCCCAAACTGTTCCCACAAAGTTGGGAGCATGAAATTGTACAAAATGTCTTAGTATGCTGATGCCTTAAGAGTTCCTTTCACTGGAACTAAGGGGCCAAGTCCAACCCCACACCATAATCCCCCCTCCACCAAACTTTACACTTGGCACAATGCAGTCTGACAAGTACCGTTCTTCTGGCAACGGCCAGTCCATCGGACAGAGGCGTGATTCGTCACTCCAGAGAACACATCTCCACTTCTCTAGAGTCCAGTGTTGGCGTGCTTTACACCACTGCATACCAACCTTTGCACTGCACTTGGTGATATAAGGCTTGGATGCGGCTGCTCGGCCATGGAAACCCACTCCATGAAGCTCTCACAAAGTTTGGAGGCTCGTAGCTATTGACTCTGCAGACAGTTGGCGACTCATGCGCACTGTGAGCTTCAGCATGTGCTGACCCCGCTCTGTCATTTTACGTGGCCTACCACTTTGTCGCTGAGTTGCTGTTGTTCCCAGTTTCTTCCACGTTGTTATAATGCCCCTAACAGTTGACTGTGGAATATTTAGTAGCAAGGAAATGTCACGGAACACATGAATCCAATGATTTAGAGGGGTGTCCCAATACTTTTGGCAATATAGTGTGTGTATATATACACACACACACACAAATGCACAGCAGAAGAGTTAACTGCCAGTTTCAAAGTTGTCAAATAAAAGAAAACTAAAAATAAAACCTTCAAAGCTCAATACTTCGAAAATAAAATAAAAAGAAACCCTGAATATGAAATTTCAGCAACAAACTGGGAGTTTAATGAATATTGTATTGTACACATTTGTTTGCATCAGATATACTTTTCTTCCCACATACTAGGAGACTGCAAACTCAGCTCATACGTAGTTAAGTAGCTCAAAATGAACACAGAAGCATTTAAAACAGATATCGAAGCAAGTTACAAGGTTCTGAAAACAAGATGCATTTGCCAATCTATAGAAGCCCTAACATACCTGTATTATTCTACCTCATTCTGTGTTCCCTTAAAGTAACTAAAGGAATGGTCTTACCTTTTTCCTGATATGTGTTTTGACATTCAGAAAATGAAAAGGGTTTGTATACGTTAATGTTATTTGCTGGTCTTTAGGTTTCTGGTAGATCACGTGTGATTTTCTATTTCCTCGGACACACCCTTCTCTACCGTTCCTTATTGTTCTTATCTTTAGTGCAGTGCTGAAGTTTCATGTATACATGTACTTGAAATGACAATCTAGCCCTGATCTCAAATAGCACACCAAAAAAAAAGAAAAGAAAATGGATCCTCCAGCAAAAAGAAAGAGACTTGAAAATATCCTGATTCGCCTCTGTGACAGGTTTACACGCACTGAGGTGAATGTGATTTGTCCTATGATTAAAGCAGAAAACTCTGTTCGTGTTTTCTACAAACTGCAAGAGGAAGAGCTGATTGAAGGCTTAAGAAGTGCCGGGGAAGAAAATGGATTTCATTTTCTACAGGTTCACTGGAAAACCTTACCTGGCAGCAAGGAGATGGAGGGAATCCTATTCATTGAATATACTGCATCACAAGAGACTGATCAAAATCATTGCAAGAGGTTGAGAGAAAAACTTGAATCAAACCTACAGACAGCTTTAAACGGAAGATATACCTTAATCGATAAAGTTGACGACATGACTCAAACGGTGCCACAGCCAATTATTTCAGGTACAGTAATAATTACAATCCAGTTTTCCCGCTATAGAGCTGATATATTAAAAAGAAGTGCTTTAGAAATGTTGTGTTGTCCATACCAACTGATCAGCTTTCATCTGTCATTTTTTTAGTTCTGGTTTGAAAATGACCCTAGGATTTTTTTTTGTACAACAATCATACAGCCACACTTCCAATTAATAGTGCAGGATTTCTATATCACCCATCAACCGACTCGCTGACCAGACACATTGGACCAGCAATAATGTGGGTCATAGTGCACTTGTAAATATTGAGTATATTGAGTCCAGAAGTGGACTGTGAAGCTGCTGTGTATATATACATATTTATTTGGCGAGCAGCCACCTAATATGCCTGATTAGAGAGACAGCAGCGCCGCTTCTTGATTGTGTTTAGCCCAGCCAGCCTGAATTGCCATCAGGTATACCGAGGTGATCTGGGCCGGCTACAAGGATTTTTGCCCACACAGATGAAGATGCATTTTTCCTCCCCCTCCCAGCTCCCTCAGGTGGCTGTCTGTGCAGCCTTACCATAGCGCCAGCCCTGCTCACCTTTCTTAAGCTGGCCATACACCTATAGATTATCTGCAGATTTTCTATGGTCAAATGGATAAAGTGCAACAAATACCGCCATCTATGCTAAACTGTGTGGATTGAGGAATCTCCCACTGGGTCAAGCTTCAGTATCTTGCTGGCTCTCAAAATACCTGAACAATCTGATTGGATGCAGGCATTGTTCAGCTATTTTGATAGCCAGTGGGGCCAACTAGCATGATACTGAAGTTTGGCCTAGTTGCAGATTCCCCCATCCACACAGTCTAGAGTAGATGGAGAAATCTGTTGCACTTTTTCCATCTGACCATAGAAAATCTGCAGATAATCTATAGGTGTATGGCCAGCTTTATACTGCTACCTCTAGACCCCTCATCTGTCTCATACTGCCACCCCTGGGCCCCCTTGCCTGTCTCATACTGCCACCTCTAGACCCCTCACCGGTCTCATACTGCCACCCCTTGGCCCCTCACCTGTCTCATACACTATAGACATGTAAGATGTGGAAAAATTTGGTTCCGTTCGGATATTTAGTTATTTTGGGATTTGGATCCTAAATTAAATTTGGTTCCGGTTTTGGCTGAAATCCGAATTTTCGTTTGTTTTGGATGAGTTTACGAATATTCGTTGGAAATACTAGAGAAAACCATATACAGATATTAATACTAAAGCTGAATCTCCTAGACCTGAATGGCATTCGGGATCTCCTGAATGCTATTTGGATCTGGGAACCATATACATATATTACTAAAGCTGGGGCTCCCAGACCCGAATGGTATTCGGGAGCTCCCAATGCAATTTGGAAATTCGGATCCCGAATGGCATTCGGGTCTAGGAGCCTCAGCTTTAGTATTATATGTATACACTGTATATGGCTCCCATGTTGCCATAACGGAAATGTGTATTCAGACCCATTCGGATGCATTAAACCAAAAAACACATCTGATTGGCCAGAAAAGTCACATGTCCGATTCAGTTTTGTTTTTGAACGAAATTCGGACGGGATCCGAAATCCAGTAATGGAAATTTGGATTCGGATGCATTCAGATGCATTGGGATTCGGAAATTCGGATATGTCCAAATGTCCTAATTTCTGAATCAAAATTCGGATAAATTTTGATTCAGAACTAAACGAATGTCTAGTGCCTTCTAACTACATGGAACAGTCAATATCTATGGTGAATATATAATGCCATAGTGCTCTCAGCTGAAACCAATTATGTAAATCTATAATGTCTCCGGGTACCCTAAAGCAGACCTTAATTACATTTACAAGTCTGCCTAAATAAATTCCTGACATGTCACAGTATACAGTAAGAGTAGCATTTTTATAAAAGCTGTACTTTCTACCATTAAAACTCTGAGCTCAAGTGACTTTGCCTAGACTAAGATGACGTTATCATTCTGCCGCAGGCAGGAGGAGGCATTTCCACTGTCTTCTACCCCCTTCTCCTGTGTTTAGATTGCAACAGTGTAACTTTGTAGTCACTAGTAAGATCAGTTAGGGTCTGGAACTCACTGCCACAGGCGGTGATTTCAGCAAATAATGTGGAATTGTTCAAGAAACTTTTGGACGATTTCTTAAGGGACCGTAGTATACAGGGGTACAGGTACTCCTAGAATGAGATCCTAATAGGTTGGACTTGATGGACTAATGTCTTTATTCAACCTCAAATACTATGTAACTATGTAACTATGTAACATGGTTAGAGTCTTTCCAGGGGATGATCTGTGTCAGACATTTGTGCACAAAGCCAAGAATGGGACAACACAAGAAATGACATGACTGTATCATGTCTATATCAGCATCTCAGTCCAGGAAGTAGATGCTGACCCTGGATGATGCAACGATGGTGCTATCATGCTAATGAAAAAAACAGATTGAAACTATTGTCTGAAAGTAATGTGGTCTTTATGAGAGGTAGTAAATACCTTTATTTACCTTTATTTACTGCATTCTGCACCTAACATCAATTGAAGTGCCTTACCAGCCAAAAACTCCAGCCCTAAGAGGGACAGGAACAGGGTCATTGCTATTACTGTGAAGACCTGAGGCACCCTTGGGTACTTCAAAGATAAGAATGTTTCAGAGCATATTTTCCTAGAACCTGAGCATATGCACTGTATGTACAATACACACATTCCTATACTCACAAAATGTGCTTAAATGACTGTGCCAAAAGTGAGAGCCTCACACACAGACTTTTTTTAAACTGAAACTCTTTCATACATCTTCTTTTCAAAACATACACATAGAGTTCACACTTTGAGCCTACCTTGAAGAAGCACTTTATTACAATAGAATACTTGGCAACCGTTGAAACAATAAACCCTTAGGTCAGGAGTATATAACACTGGTCAACACACTTTTTCTGGCATTAGGTATTCCAACGGTTTTAAGGTAATTTTGGGGTGCTGAATCCAAATCTGGCATCAGTTTTTGTCTATCACATCAGGTTTTTGAGATATCAAATATTGCATTTTCAATAAAAACAGCAAATTTATGCTCATATACGAATAGCTATACAGGCATACATACAAGAATAAGATAAGATACAATATACAATAATAATGAAACAAACATTTAATGAGCCGTAGCACAAAGTTGTGAGTGACTGCATATCAATGTGAGTGAATGCATATTACCATGTAAGAATTGAATTGTCAAGATAAGAAAAATATGTACAAAAAGGTCATTCACAATAGTGATGTTACATCTGCATAAACAACCTCTTCTTTGACGATCTCCGATGTACAACTTGTGGAATGTCTCTCATCAAGGACCAGCAGTAATCTGCCATCATGTTTGAGTCCCATCGGCCTTGGTAACGTTCTTCCATAACTTTAATGTCTTGATGAAAGCGTTCACCTTGCTCTTTGCTCACTGACCCATGTTCTCTGGAAACTGGGCCAAGTGACTATGTAAGTAGGTGAACCTTAATGCCCATTCTACATCCAAGTGCTTGGAAACTCAAGAGCAGCTCCTCCACAATCTTTCGATAGTTGTCCGCTTTCCTGTTCCCAAGGAAATTCCGCACCACATAAGAGAATGCATTCCAAGTTCTAGCTTCTGCCGCAGTCATTGTTGTAACAAAGTGTGGATCCCTGATGAGTGTTCTTATTTGAGGGCCATCAAATATTCCTGCATTTTTCTTCTCGGCACTGAGACTTGAAAAGGTTGAACATATATAGCTGAAGCAGTCTCCAGTGTGATCAAGAGCTTTGACAAATTGCTTCATTAACCCAAGTTTTATGTGCAGTGGGGGAAATACAATTTTATTCCTATCAACCAGAGGCTCATTCTTGATGTTCTTGTAACCAAGCGTCAAACTGATTCTTGGTGGCCAGTTCTTTTTAACCCAGTGTTCTAATGTAGCCATACTGTCCCAGTAGCACAGGAAACAAGGGTATTTGGTGTGACCTCCTTGCTGACCCAGCAGAAAATTAACCATTTTCAAATCAACACAAATTACCCATCCATGAACCTGATATTCCAATCTATCCAGAATAATCTTGATGTTGGCATACTCTTCTTTCATTTTTACAGAGTGTCCTATTGGGATTGAACTAGGGCTGCAGCTAACAATTATTTTCATAATCGATTAGTTGGCCGACTATTAAGTTCGATTAATCGGTTAATCGGATTTAAAAAAAAAAGGCTCCAGTGATTGACGACTAGTTTGTGTTAAGATTGTAGTCCATCACGGGAGCAAGCTTGGCGCGGTGGAAGTAAAAAAAAAAAGTGTGGTGTGCAATATAGTACATTATACAGCGGCGCAGTGCAGAATACCAGCAGCTATAGAGGAATGTAGCAATAGTACATTCTAC